CAAAATCAACCGTCACACTAATGCACCACTTGGTCGCTTTCCTAATCCCGACTCTAGATTTGAACATATACATGTAGACATAGTTGGTCCACTGCCTCCTTCCAATGGTTTCAACTATATTCTAACTTGCATCGATAGATTCACTCGTTGGCCTGTAGCAGTTCCAATAGCCGACGTCTCAGCTGAAACGGTAGCTAAAGCTTTGGTCGAAAACTGGATAGCTAATTTTGGTGTCCCATCCATTATCACTACGGACAGAGGTGCTCAGTTTGAAAGTCGACTTTTTCAACAGCTAACTGAATTACTGGGCATCAAACGAATACGAACAACCGCCTACCATCCTAGTTCCAACGGCATGGTTGAACGCCTTCATCGACAACTCAAAGCTGCGCTCGCTGCCTCTTTGACTCAAAACGACTGGTCAACCAAACTCCCACTGGTACTGCTTGGTATACGATCTGCTCTAAAGAAAGATATTGGCTGCTGTGTTTCCGAACTAGTCTATGGAACAACATTACGACTACCAGGAGAATTTTTCACCCCAGGTAACCAAGTTCCACAAGATATGACTGGTTATGTGCACCAGCTAAAACAACACATGAACGAGCTCAAGATATCACTTCCACGCCAGCAGGAACGAACGTCATACATCCCACCACAACTGACAGATTGCACTCACGTCTTCGTCAGGAGAGAGGGTGTACAACGACCACTTCAACCCGCTTATGATGGCCCATTCAAAGTTCTAAATAGAAACGATAAAGTTATCACGATAGAACGACTGAATAAAGCAGAAGCCATCAGTGTCGACAGAGTCAAACCAGCGTTCATCGACGATTTCGAAGACAACGATAAAGATCAGCTGAACGACGTGCCACCATCTACATCCACGCAAGCTTCAACGTCGCCAGAGAAGCCTATGAAAACTACACGCTCTGGTAGGAGAGTTCATTGGCCTAAACGTTATGTGCAAATCATCAAAATATAACTTATTACGAATTTTCATTTTTATTATCTTTATTCGTAATTGTCATTTGACTACACATTTAACTGATTAATATCTTCATACGTCGATCACGTCACTACTGTGTTAACATTGATATTTCCTGTATTATTACATTTAATCATATAGCGCTTAATATTCACGTATCGTTTCCGTATACAGACTACAGATCCCCGGCTGATTGTATCATTCCTTATATATTCAACCACGATCATCAATCCTATTTTTTCTTTTATTATCGCATTTATTATCGGCCTTATTGACCGCATTAAATTGCTCATTTTTTTCAGCTTAGTAAATCGCTTTCTATGTACTATCGCTGCTACGTATTACGCTGACGCATTTTATTGTCGAACACTTAAATGTATTTTTTTTATATTTCAGTGTTCTGGTGGGGGAATTATGTAGTACCCCTGTACCAACTATAAACATACGTTTTTAATCTAATTTGCATACTCATATTATATGTTTACACATACCGATTTTCTATGTACTTCGTAAACATTTGTCAATTTACTGTTGAACGTTACCTTGATACAATTTTGAAATTTGACTACGGCTATAATACACGATTATACTCTTCACAAGTGCCTTCTGATTTTACGTTGTGGGCGTCGAGTAGCCACAACGTCTGCGCACATTGATAAACGTGAAGAAGTACTAGGAAATACGTGTACGCTCATTTAGTCAAATAGAACACGCAACAACACGATCACCTTACTGCAGCACTCTAACAAATAGTTCCCATTAGCTTTTGTTCTCCTTTCTTTGTTACTATTATATTGTTGCTCATATATTCTATTACAGACTGATTTTATATATCATATCCTGTGCTGTATTGTTTAAATATGTGAACGCAATACTGTTCTTTTTTATTTCTTCTATTTCTCTTTTTTTTTCTTTTATTGTTGTTGCTTTTATTTTTTAAATTCTTATAAAATTTATGAGGTAATTAGATGCAATATTGTAATGAACGCTGAAAATTCCATACCTGTACCACAAATACTGTTTGGAATAAAGCCATTATTATTATTATTATTATTATTATTATTATTATTATTATTGTGGCCAGTGGAGTCCACCATGTCAAGATTAGTTAGATGATCATCAAAGATAATGGTGAGGGTAGACCTCTCGTACGAGTTGCCGAATTCCAGCCCAAGTGGTAGAATGTTCAACGAGCTTGGTCACGTAACTTGAAAGTCCTGGATCCCATTCTTAATGGGATCATGTGTGTGCACTGGTGAGGAGTCGCAAGACAGGATGAAACATATGTACACTACTCCCTTGTTTTCAATGATTTCTCCAGCTGATATTATATAATAAATTAGAGTTAGTACTGCATTGTTTACAAGTGAAATTTTATGAGATTTTCAATCTTTAATTCCATATAAATATATCAACAATGCATTTTTAAGTACAACATTTTATTCATAATCATACCATGAGTTGTTACTACACAACTTCAAAACTTAATTTTTGTAGTCTACATTCTTCTTCTCCATTTGCCATAAGAGTAGTTGAAATTTCCAGATACATGGGACGGTTGTTATATCCTTCTTTTTGTGCGCGTTCTGTTTTAAAATCTTATTCAGGATTCTCAACTAGGCAGGGATAAAAGTGACATTCAAGCATAAAAACGCACTTAGAAAGGAACTGTGTGGGTTAAAGGATCCAGTGGAGTCGGTCAAACAAAATAATCTAGTTTATCTAGTACCCTGAAATGACTATGAGGTCAAGTATATAGACCAAAGCAGCAGAATTGGGTCGATTAAACGAGTGAAGCATACAAACATAGCATAATGTAAATAAGAAATCTAGAAAATAATTTAGCTGTTGTGTAGCGAGTGCTACTGATTAGATTTATCGGTAATATATGAAGAGACGTTCATCTGCATAAAAACATTAACTATCAAGGAGGTACACTTGATGTCAGAGAAGGCAAAGGTTGCAGTGTTGTGGAGATAAATGGGAGACGTGAAAGGAACACAAAGAAACACAATATGAATTCCAAAAGTACCACAACACGAAGGTCTGTGCAAATTGTGCGTTGAAAACTAAGTGTGCATAATTTGACGATGTAGAGACATCGATTTGCAGATATATATTCCTTTACCAAGTCTCTGTCTCCTACCGTTACTGTAGCACTACATGTAATTACAGAAAAGCATGCAATAAGATAGGACAAGGTGACAGTCGTGAAGCTGTATTTATCAAGTTAGAGGGGAATCCTTGTCACAGAAATGATTCAAACCTGCCCCGGATATCCGGAAAACTCTACCACTCCTACGACAAAAACGAAAGAATAAACAGAACCATAACAATCAGGTTTGGAAGTTACGTCTAGTGACAACTGATGATATGACTATGGGCAATAAATTCTGTTCAAAACTTAGTCATGCCGTAAGTAATATTATGTCACTGTATTTTTGATATACTCAATAAACAAATTAATGTGGAATGACATACTACCACAATGCCCAAAGTTTACACGTATATTAATTTCATCTTCAAAGAATGGAACATTTCAACGAATACTGATAAATAGACCACCTCTACATATAACAATGGCACGTGTCAGATGATCCACAACGGAAAATTCAGTGAGGTGATTGAAGTGAATACAAGAGTAAGCCAAGTTGGCTGCCTACCATCACCTATGATATTTCTAATCGTAGTGGACTGGATTATGCGGCAGACTGTGAGCTAGGAGTGAGAAGACGGAAATTCTCTGTACCATTAAGAAGACTCTAGAGGATATGGATTCCACACATGCATGATTTATGCTTAATGTCACACAATCTCGAAGACTTGCTGGTGAAAACCAACAAACTGGCTGAAGAGGATAGCAGCGAAGACAGGACTCCAGGTGAACAGTGAGAAGACGGCGGTGATAAAGATAACCAAAAACCACCAACAGCAACAACAACCAGCACAAGTCACCATCAACGGGTTACTTCCTTCCCTTAACTAGGAAACATTGTTTCAATCTCAGCTGGCGAAACGGATGAATATGTCAAAGCTGGCCAGCCAGAATTGGAAAGGCAAGGTATATCTTAATCAATTTGAAATCAGTTTGAAAATCTTCTGCACTCTACACCATAAACAAAAAGATTCGGGTTTCCAACACAAATGTTTAGTCAGTCAGCTCTTCTGTATGGGTCGGTAACTTGGCTTGGACACTATGAAACGAATTTCCGACAGGCCGCTGCAGACATTTATCAACAGCTGCCCACTTCGCTGGCTCAATATTGAAAAACAAGTGGCAAAATGTAATTAGCAACAAGAAACTCTGTTTTACGAGTTGATCACGGACTGATATCAGTTAGAGAACCATTGAAAACCAGGGAGTACTGGACAGCAAACGAACCAATCAAGAGCCGACTGCTCAACAAATTTCTAGAAGAAAATGGAGACTGATCGAACACATGCTTAGGAGATCATTCAATAACATCGCGCGCCCAGCCATCGCTTTAGTGGAACCCAAATGGGAAGAGACGAGTGGGTTATCGTTGCAAGGGTGGCATAGAGAATATCGTGTGAGCAGGCGATGTGAGAGCCTACGGACAGATGTAGTCCCAGCTAAAGAGGACCACGAAAAATAGGACAAAGTGGAGGCGATGTGTTGTTGAAGCCATTTGTTCCAGTCGGAACCCAAAGGAACAATAATAACAGTAAAATACAAGATATTGTGGACGAAATTCCAACAAGCTTTTTGAATGTACAAAAATTATATATATATTTAATCACAGAAAAATGTATTTGATAGAAGCACATAGCGATTCAGTACTACTTATTAATGGCTTTTCGAGGACAATTTATTGCTCCTAATCATATAAGTTTGATAATATACCCATAGATGAATTGATATCCTGATCAAGTCTATTGTATCACATGACATGTGTAACTGCCCTTCGAAACTCCACATAACAATGTTTAATGCTAATCGGATGTATACAAAAGAATTTGTAAGAGTATCATACACATATACACAGGCTTATCTTAAATATTTTCTGCTGCGAATATTTTGAATTCCAACTTTAATTTGTTTATAGTCTTCAATAATTTTACAACCTCTCTGTATTTGTGACTCGCATTTTTTGCCTTCACCTTTCGTTGTCTCGTTGTTCTCATGACTACTGATATCATTACTAGTAGGCATTGAAAATAAATCAAATGAAATGTTATTTTTCAACCAATCAATTTGATTTTCAAATTTAATCGGATCGTAGCTTCTGGTAACTGTTGTAGTTTTATTATTATTATCATTTTTGCATATATTACATTTACCAGCATCAGTTAAACTTTGCAGATTTTTCATCAAACACATTTCTGATTCTTTAGATCGTGCAACTTTGACTAAGTCAATATACTTTGGTGTAAGACGATGAATCAATGGGCCGATCTGTTCATTAACATGACTAATGAAACGATTCCGTAGCATACTTTGATACCATACAGGATATGTAGACCATTTGCCATTAGTTTTTTCACATAATGCCCAATCACTTAAATTCAAATAAATATAGATCACTACATCTTCCCAAGATTGTTTAGCACTACTCAACTGGTAGTGTACTAGTGCACGTGTCATGTAAAACTCCGATTTGAATGGCGCCAATTGAATACAGTAATTTAAATGGTTCAATGCTGCCATCCAATCATTTTCTTTGATTTTTTGCCTACTTAAATAATAACATGCTAAACAAATTCTATGATTAACTGATTTAACACTCTCTGGAATATTGGAAACAGTATTATTTGTACAGGTACATTGATTTGAAGTACACAGCAATTCATTGATAATCAACTTAGCCTTTTCATACATCTTAAGCGCTTCTTCATGGCGATTCATTTGATACTGGCAATCACCGAATAACATTAATAATCGATAATTATTGGGATCAACTTTTAAAAGTTGACAGATTAATTCACTGGATTCATGATATTCGCCTTTGGTCAGTAATCGAATTGCATAACAACTGATGGTGAGAAATAATTGATTTTTACCTGATGCATACAATGACTGATAGTTATCGGATGATTTGTTCTGATTATTATTATCATTATTACTTGTCCCATCCAATAATTCTATGCCTTGTAGAACACAGTCAATCGATTCGTCTAACCGACTGAGTTTCCTTAATATTGCTCCTTTATCAAAATACAATGAGACATTTTCTGGTTGAGCATAAATAGCCGTGTTGATTGATTGTAAAGCATCTATGAAACGATTTCTTAGCATTGAGGCAACTGCTTCTTCTTGTTTGCATGAAGATAAACTCTCCAGTTGTTTCAACAGGTTTAAACTGTTTTCATGAACTGGGCAATGGTGTATTGCTCGTTTAACATTATAGTAAGCTTGAGTTATTGATTGACCAGATTGTTTGAATAAGATTTTAGCTTTAGTATATAACAGGTCTGATATTTCTTTGAAAATAATGACAAGCGAAAATCATCAATAAATCGTGAATTAAAATCTTAAAAATGGATTAAAACAACTTTTTTTCATTCCTTCACCTTCTCAGTGGAACGTAGGGCCACTTCAAGCTAGAGGCTTGAAGTTTCTGTAGCAGTTTTTATTTTTACAGGATGTGGTTGCTAGCCGCATGCCCAACCTTTCCTCTTTACCGGCTCCTTTTTTCTATTACTGGCTTAGCCAGGTAAAGGAGCACATCGGCCGGAGGTTGAACCCAGGACCACATGCATGGTCGGCGAGTATTCTATCGCTGTACCGCCGACGCACACGGATTGAAAATAGTGAAAATAAAATGCAAAATCGTTAAACAACTAGGGAAGAATTGCAAACTCCCATTACATAATCATAATAATAATTATTACTACCATTACTATTATTCCCTTCGGTTCCTAGTGGAACGTTGGGCTTCAGCTGTACATCGCCACTTCACTGTGTTCTATACAGTGCAGTCTAGCTGGCTTCATGATTGTACATAGGGTTTCATTTCTCCTTCGCATGATCTCCTCTTTGTTAACCTTGGACCCATGCTCAATTCATCATTTCTCATTTGGGTCTGCCTAGCATGTCACACCACTCAAAGATCTCTTCAGCATATACCAATGCACCCCTGTTTCCTCCTACGTATTTGTTGAGCAATTGGTTCTCGGTTGTTGGATACTGAACATCCTCTCTACTATCCAAATTTTCTCTTTGTGTTTGTTAGGAGTAAAACTAGAAGAAATTTCATGTTCATACAACCAATAAATATAAAAATTCAACCATACCGTATTTAGCCCAGGCGTTGTATGAAGACAGACACATGCAAAAAAGTGCTTATAAGCCTACTTAATAACCAGTAAATAAACAATAATTTATTATCAGTATTGATTATTTCACCTGCATTACTCTTCTATTGACTTCAGTTGTTTGCAGTTTTAGTATTTCTACTATCTTTTTTACCTACCTGCAAAAGAAGATACAATCCTGATGTTAGATGGTTGGAGACAATCGACAGGAAGCCTTGGACCTAGGTTTCGTGCTAGCTGGCACTCACCAGTCAGCAAGGCGTATCTACATGCTTGAAGGGACTCATGTCCCTTCTGAAATTCAAGCCCGTGTTACCCAGTGAGACCTGCAGTCAGAGACGTTACCACTGAGCTATTCAGGCTGGCGACTGACCTCATGTAGGACTGCACTGGACTGGTTGACGTGGGTTCGAATCTCAGAAGGGACTTGAGTTCCTTCAAGGTTGTAGATACGCCTTGCTGACAGACTGATGAGTGCCAACTAGCACGAAACCTAGGTCCAAGGCTTCCTGTGGCCGATTGCCTGCAACCATCTAATATCATCAAATCAATGTGCACCGTGATAGCGAGCTACCTAGAGAATGGTGGCCACATTGCAAACCTGACTGATAGAATTCAATCTGCACCAAGCAAAGGACTAGACACATCACCCTAGTTACTAGTCTCCAATATAACCATACTATCCTCAAAATTTCATTCTGTATAATTATTATTGTTTGGTATAACTAGTTTACTACTGTGGTGGTGTGATACAGACAATGTGTTCCAACGGAATATTATTCTCACATATTCCCACAGTTCAATACAGCATTAGCAACAGAATACTATATATATATTTGAACATTCTATTTCACGTCGTTTAATGTAAGCCAAAATCACACGCTCAGTGATTGGTTAGAGAATATAAACTGTATAGATATAAATAGCTGTTTGAAAACTTGAAGAAAATATACCTTGGCTTCGGTGTCTTGCCTTTTGTTGTTACCCTACTATTATAACGTGCTTTGTGCTGACCAGAACTCAACATGCTTCAAAGTATTAATTAACAAACTATGGAATTTCGAATAGCAATTATAAAAGAAATAATATAAACCTATGAAACACTAACTAATACCTATAATTGTATATATATATTGATGGATTTACATGTTCAAGTTGGCTCAAGTCAGTGAGTCTATGACTTTGGTGTCATTTTGGTTAACTGTACTTGACTGTGATATTATTATTGTTGTTGTCGCTTGTTACCCTTCTTGTTGTGAATTATTTTCCTGTGATGGTGTTGTTCTGCTTGTTTTATTCCCTGTTTTCCTGGTTTTAAGGGGAGCAACCCACAAGGTCGCTTCTCTCTAAGTTATAATGTAACAATCCCCTTTCTCAGGCGTGAGGCTAGCAACCCCACCCTGTAAACAAAGCTGCTACAGAAACTTCAACACGATGTATCTCCTTGAGACAAAAGAAAAAGTCTGTGGGGGGACATGGGATGTCCGTACCATGTACGAGATTGGCAAAGCTGCCCAGATCGCAAACGAAATTCAAGTACTGGGAATATGTGAAAGCAGATAGAACGGGAATGGACTCACCAAGTTGTCAACGGGTGAGTCAGTGATCTACTCCGGTCACCCAGAAGATAACCACTCGCACACCGAGGGCGTGGCTATCATGATGTCACCAACGGAAATGAAGGTCCTGATGCAATTGGAGGCGATCTCGCCCAGGATAATAACCGCCAGATTCAACTCCAAAGGAAGGAAAGTGTCAATTATACAATGCTATGCACTGACAAACAACGCAGACCTCAAAAAGAAAGAAGAATTCTACAGACAACTGCAGACAACAATGGACAATACTCCAGCTGGTGACATCAAAATACTAATGGGAGACATGAACGCCAAACTGGGATCAGACAACACAGGAAGGGAACTCATCATGGAGAAATGAATGAAAACGGAGAACTCTTCGCAGACTTCTGCGCCTTCAATGAACTAGTGATTGGTGGCAGCGTATACAAACACAAGGATATCCACAAGGCTGCATGGGTGTCACCAGATGGGCGAACCAAAAACCAAATTGACTTCATCTCAATCTCAAGGAAGTGGAGGCGCAGCCTGCTGGACACAAAAGTAAGAAGAGGAGCAGACATTGGCTCAGACCACTACCTCGTACAAGGGACAATCCAAATCAAATTAAAAGGTTTCAGAGAAACAGGAGCTGCAGATAGACCACAAGCCAAGTTCAACACTCAGAAACTGAAGGCCCAGGACACAAAGGACATCTTCACTGCAAGCATAAAAGACAAAGCCGAGACACAAATCAACACTAGCGAAGAGGTCAGCGTCGAAAAGCACTGGAACAACTTGAAGGCAGTGTGGAGTCAAACCTGCATGGAAGTTCTAGGCAGAAAGAAGAGACAGGGCAAACAATGGCTCACTACGGACACTTGGAAACTAATAGAAGAGAGAGGGATGGTGAAACAAAAGATTCTCCAGTGCACCGATGAGCAACAAAAACATGATTTGAATGCAAGCTACAAGACACTGAACAAAAGAGTAAAAAAGAGCGCCAGAGAAGACAAAAGAAAGTATTATGAAACCATGGCAAGCGAGGCAGAACAAGCTGCAGGCAAAGGAGACCTCGCAACACTCTACCAAACTACTAGGTACCTATCGGGCAAACGTTTGACACAAATCAAGCTGGTGAAGGATGACAATGGAAAGTCACTCACCAAAGAAGTGGAGCAAAGGAAACACTGGGCTGAACACTTCAAAAGACTCCTAAATCGACCACCACCTACAACGCGCCCAGCAATACCAACAACGGAGACAGAGCTACCAGTGAACATCAACCCCCCGACGAAATCAGAAGTCCTGAAGGCAATCAAGATGCTAAAAGCTGGAAAAGCAGCAGGACCAGATGGAATCCCAGCAGAAGCATTGAAAACGGACCCAGAGACAACAGCGGACTTGATGACGCCACTACTGGAGAGGGTGTGGAAAGAAGGCAAAGTACCCGAGGGTTGGAAGATGGGCTACTTATTCAAACTACCAAAGAAAGGAGACCTAAGTCAATGCAAGAACTGGCGCGGAATTATGCTCCTGTCCATCCCAAGCAAAATACTAAGCCGCATCATCCTGGAGAGAATCAAACAAGCCCTGGATGAAAAACTTCGACCGGAACAGGCTGGATTCAGGAGAAACAAGTCATGTATTCATCAGATCGCCACATTGCGGATCATCATTGAACAAAGCTTGGAATGGCAGTCACCTCTCTATCTCAACTTCATCGACTTTGAAAAGGCCTTCGACAGCGTCGATCGAGAGGTGATTTGGAAACTACTTCGCTACTACGGGGTGCCACCGACAATTATACATCTCATCCAACAGCTATACGACAATGCTGCATGCCAAGTAATCCACAACGGGAAACTCACGGAATCCTTCGAAGTGAGGACAGGAGTAAGACAAGCTGGCTGCCTACTATCGCCAATGATTTTCCTGATTGCAGTAGACTGGATAATGCGACAAACAGTGGGGAATGAGGAAACAGGCATAAAATGGACTCACACAAAAAACTTGGAGGATCTTGACTTCGCCGATGATATATGTCTGATTTCCAACAAACTGGAAGATATGCAAGCGAAAAGCAACAAGTTAGCAGAAGAAGCATCAAGGATAGGACTTCAGGTGAACATAGATAAAACAGAGGTGGTGAAGATTCCTGGCCAACACCCTTAACAGCAACAACAACTGACAACAATCAGCATAAATGGGAGGAACCTGAAAGAAACAACCTCTTTTACCTACCTACCTGGGAAGCATCGTTTCAACTACAGGCGGAACTGACGAGGATATCAAAGCAAGGATCGGAAAAGCAAGACAAGCTTTCACTACTCTCAAGTCTGTGTGGAGGTCAACAGCACTCAGCATGAAAAATAAGATCCGGATTTTCAACTCCAATGTGAAGTCAGTGCTACTCACTATACGGATCAGAGACTTGCACTGCGCGTCATAAAGAGCATCTCAAACAAACTACAGACCTTCATTAACAGCTGTCTTCGCTCAATACTCAAGATCAGATGGCCGGCCAGAAAAGATCAGCAACAGGGATCTCTGGCAATGAGCGAACCAACCAAGTAGGAACCGATTGTGAAACAAATATGCAGGAAGAAATGGAGATGGATTGGCCATACTCTGAGGAAACCATCAAGTGACATCACTAGACAAGCCATTGCTCGAGTGGAACCCGAAAGGGAAGCGGCGAGTTGGTCGTCAGTGCAAGGGTGACTTAGAGGAGGTCATGTGAAGAGGAGATGAAAACGTGTGGGCAGACATGGAGCCAGGTGAAGACTCTAGCAGAGAACCGAACGCAATGGAGACGCACGACTGAAGCCCTATGTTCCTGTAGGAATTAAAGGATATAATAATAATAATAATAATAATAATAATAATAATAATAATAATAATAATAATAATAATAATTAAACACATACGCACGCACACCTACGTGGTAAATGCAATCTCGTTGTCTGAATAGTATTCTCTTTTAATATTTCTTCTGAAACGAAAATATTTTCCTTCTCTAAATAATTTATACATTTTGTCAATAAATCAATACTATCATTATCATTTTGCATTGATTCGTACACCTTTAATACATCCATCAGTGTGACTAATACTCCGGGTGTAACAGATTCCCCGATGATTGAATTATTCATTTCAGCGTATTGATCAATAAAATCTCTGCCTATTTCATATTGTTTCAAAGCTTCATCATACTTTTCTGTTTTGTATAAGTATTTACCATAAACAATATGCAGTTGACCAGTTTTCAATAAGGCGTCTTGATATTCTGTACGATTCATGTTGGTTGACATCGAAGACGGTGAAACACATGAAGGGGAAGTGTCAGCTAAAGACACTGAACCAGTGTTGACGACTACATGCTGATCGACTACTTTGCTTCTAACGACTTTGATCCTAAGGATAGGGCTATGTGAAGATCACTTATAGCATGTTGGTAGTCTTGAAGCTGCATAGAAGTGTGAACGCGTTCGGTTAGCATCGTAATAATAATAATAATAATGCAGTTAAACAACGGTTAGGGAGGTAATAATAACTAAGTATAAACACAATACCAGTGTAGACTTTATCACCATACATGATAGTGATTAATTAGGTAACTTTATAGTAACTTTACGGCTTGGAGTAAGACTTTCTGATGAATTCTGACTAATATATACCTCCTCAACGAGGTTTATCCAACTATTTTTCCCGTAATTAGGTGAACGGCAGTAATAGGTGAGTCAGTGAGTGTTATCTAGATGTTCTAATGATAGTAGGGGGAGATTATTCAATGTTTTCTTTAGTGTAAAGCAGTCTTCGCAGATGGCTTCTATTAGCAATGAAAACTACCCTGAAATCAATCCTTCCTTCATAAAATCTTCGATCGAACACCAGTTAACATCTTGTGTGATACGACTTACTACTGATCGATCAATATGAGTAGGTGCATACAACTCACATCGACCAGATCAAAGTGATCTAAACATTAAGTGTCCATTCCTCCCCCCTTTGAAGCCGAGCTCATCAGTGGTGTATCTGGTTAGACTCAGACCGATGAGCCGAACCAGTTCAAACCACTCTCTTTTTACTGGAAGTGTTCTATCAAGTTATTTACCGTACTTATTAAATCATCGAGGATAAATTAGGCAGAGTAGGATTTGAACCCGAAAATCAAGAGCTGCATAAACTTTTCAATTCTTGAGTAGTCACCCATATTAATATTACCAATTTGCAAAATTTCAACTAACTATTACTTCAGATACGCTTTATGATTTACTTGGTTGAAACAAACTAGATTCGAATTAAGTTATTTTAAAATGTATGCTTTAAGGCATCTAAAGTTCAGTAGTGGAATGCTCACCAACTACGCAACAGGTCGTGGTTCGATTCCCATTCACATATATCTTTAAGAATCCCAACTTACTTTTGATACCCAGTATTCACAATCCCTATTCATGCCTGTTGTTCAAACCCAATTATCAAGGACAGATATTTCATGTGGCAGGATATAAGCCACAACTAGTGTGTATGCAAGGCCTGATAATACTACTCAGTTTCCCAGAATGAAGTAGGAGCGGAATGGGATTCGAGCCCAACACCTGCTGGCTAAAATTCCAATCTGTAAGCCAATCTCTACCACCTAATTTATACCAAAATAGTCTAGATATTTGAAACACAATCTTCTACCAAAAAATAATACAAAATACATCGGAAAAGCATCTTCAATTTCTGTGAAGATGTGTGACAATCCTATACAATCTTTGAACATCTTTATAAAATGTTATTCAAAATTACTTACTAATAGCTAATTGCAAGTTTTATATGTGTGGGATAGAACTGGTAACTTGTGAATTAATTCACAATGTGCAATTTACAGATGAAAACTTACCCACACTTTCCATTGGGAAGCAAAATCAACCAAATCATTTTTAAACAAATTTCATGTTAATTAATGTTCAATAATAAATAAAAGGCTGCATACCTTAGCGTAAATTTCCGCGCGTTCAATATGAAATCTGGCATTGTTTGGCGCTAATTTTATACACTGATCAATATGATGCATTGCTTTCAACATATCAGCATTATTCATAGCCATTTCTACACATCTATGATGCTTTCGAATAGTTGTTGTAAAATATTGTCCTATAGTCATTTTCATATATGAAACTGCAAATTTCTGAGGTAAATCACGTCTTCTAGTTGGACTATGCATAAGGAATGAGCGTGCAACAACACTGCTGGCACCGTTTATTTCTTTTACATCTTCTATTAGTCATATATAATAATAATAATTTAAATAATCAGAACTTTAGGAATTACCATTAATTATTGTATTATGTCCTAATTGTTCATGCAATGGATATCCTGGACGATTTTCAACATCAATACACATCACTTTATTTTCAAGTGTATCCATTGAAAAATAAGAATCGGATTCAGCGTGTTACACTTTTGAAACAAAAATTTTAACAAAAAAAAGCAACTAAAGATTTAAGGTAGATAACTTTTACTATAGTACAATTTTTTTTGTGATAGTCATTTATTTTGTTCACTTACATGTGGTTATTATCCACTATCAGTAGCACTAAGTTAATATAAAAAATTATAGCTCCTTCAGCATTCCAAAAGCTTTGTTCATTTCTCAAGTAGTCTTTCATTATAAGTTAATTGGTGGATAGTGACTATCAGTGGAATCCAGGTTGCGCATTTCTTCCTATTTGGGACTCGTCATCTAGGTGTACCTGCATTCCGCGGTGAGTGATGATGTTTCAAACGAGGCTTGAACCAAGTGCTCAAGCATCCGACATGTCAACCTGAGACCGAGCACTTTGGTCCAGTCAGTCGACGGGAAAATCTAAAATTGGATTAAATGATTAATATGACCCGTTGCACAAGATGTGGGCACTGGGCACTGGGTTTGAGCCTCGGTGGGAACATCATCAACCACTGTGGAATGCAGGTATATCCAGCTGACAAGTCCCAAATAGGAAGAAATGTGCATTCTTGATTCCACTGCTAGTCACCATCCACCGATTAACTTATAATTACATGCCCAGACATCGTCGAAGCATCCGCACAAGAAGCCAACAGACATGTCAACCTAAAACCGAGCACTTCAGTCCAGTCAATCGATGGGAAAATCAAAAATTGAATTAAACAGTCTTTCATTATGCTTAAATTGTTGCCTTCCTTATTTAGAAAGGTAGGCTGACTTAGAAGCGAGTCGATAAATAGTCAGGCATGATCAAACCGAAATATGGTATCATATTCATGAAGCATACATTCTTCATGCCAATGTAATAGATAAAGTATATACTGAAGTCATATTTTGCTTACAGTTGCGTCTTTTTTGAGCATACCAAGAGATTTAGGCTAAGCACAACAATATTTCATTGTCATATCAAAATAATAAACTATAAGAAATATCATAAGTCATTTCTAACAATAAACACAATACTTTCTTATATTCCTCTTCCACCATACTCTAGAAAGAAGTTTTGGATGCAGTAATGTAATTTAATTTGAAATGATGCATGCACATGCATACAAGATTCTGTTAAGACGTTTTACAGACTTAAAAGTAACGAATCGAGGAAGAACACTACATTCATATAGAATGAGTGAAGCTAGCAGACTTTTCAAGACAGAAGGCATAAAAATGCAGAAAATTTTGACAACACATCAGATTACTTAGGGTGGTTTACGCGAAATAAACTCAGCTGTCTTTTAGGAGAAAGTTTAGCTAACCATATATCTATAACGTTGATTGAGGTGACAAAATTAGGCTAAAATCACCAAACAAAGTAAAGTGATTTATATTAATCACATTTCTGATTGATTTTGCTCCCGTTAAATTCAAAAATTATGGTAAGACAAGGAATGGGGAAGTTTCCATATACTTTGGCAAGCAACTTGGATGCATGTTTTGTCTAAAAGAGTCAAATAACATTACCGCGCTTGGCTACCAGAAGAGGAGAGTGGATCAATAAGGAGTGCAATAATTGAATATAAAATTCAACACAAGTTACTCAGTATGCAAGGAGAATTCATTAAAAGTCATCTACAAAGTCAAAAGAAGCCTCCCGAAAACGGTAAGCTTCCGTATACTTTGCACTGCCGAGGCCCTAGCGATCCGGATAGAAAACCCAGATTTATGCATACAGAAGAAATTTCTGCACCCACTCCTCCTACCTTGGGTATAATTACAAGCTCGAGTACTTTGTTAATAACGCTTGTTTTGTTTTGTTTTTGAAATTTTGTATGACATTGTAGCGGTAAATAATTCCCCAAAATTATTAACCACAGCAATCATCACTCAACATTGGATGCTGACCATCACTGTTTAAGTCGACTTGTTTAGCTGAAGGCTTACGGTCAAGCATCCCCGCCATTTGGTGCTCCGTCGTGTCACGTGCGTGCACGATTACTAGCTAGCTAAGCATTCACCTCTACCCGCGATTTTGTCCCGAAATATAATACGTACTTTGGACGACAAAATCTGGTCTTTCGCTTTACCATTTGGTACTCGAAGAACGAACACTATAGTGGTTGTTGGTATAAGATCTTGCGTTAGTATAATCCGTACAACTCGCGAACGTCGATACCGTCTATCACCAAACTGGTGAGCCCAACCACGAACTACATCTTCAATTCACACGCAGATAAACCCGGTGAGTTCGTTCCTTTTTGTGTTTATTCTTGTACTATATTGTTATCGGCATACTTTTCGTCATGAGTGATCCTAGCCCCAAGGTTATTCAGATTCGCTCAACCGCCAAAACAATCCAGCTAGTACCATATTGGCCAGATAATGCTGAAACATGGTTTCAGATTGCTGAGTCTGATTTTTGTGAACATGGCATAACTGATCAACGTTCACAGTTCCTTGCAGTTATTCACGCCCTACCGCGGGAATTCAGCAGGTGCGTAACTCTGCAGATGTCGGTAAGTAACTCGTACGAGTTGCTAAAAGCATCCCTCCTGAAGAGAAACGTTCTCACAGATCGACAACGTCTGGATGAGTTATTTCGTAGCATCGAGTTAGGAGATCAGTCAGCCGTGAGCATGCTGGGAAGAATGAAAGAGATCATTGGCCAAAGTCAGTTCGATGAAGGACTGTTTAGAGAACTGTTTTTATCCAAACTGCCACAGTCAGTTCAGACTGTACTTGTGACACTTCAAAGTGTTCTCATAGATGATTTAGCTGTCTCTGCAGATAGAATTCTAGAGATAACTAAACGGCCAGTTACCGAAGTATACTCTGTTACCGAACAGACTTCGAAGAAGGATTCTGCAATGATAGAGCTAATCAACTCTGTCCAGCAGATGCTTAGGTCAAACAAGCCTAGCAATTCATCCTATCGTCGTTCTAAATCCCCTCAACGGCAAAGTGCACGTGGACGATCTAAGTCCAACACACGCTCTCTCAAAAATACTGACTGGTGTTGGTATCACAACACCTATGGCAAGGAAGCGAAATGTTGTCGAAAACCTTGTGATTTCGGCAAAGCCTCCAAGTCTGTGGGAAACTATCCCGCCGGCACGCGTTAGCGGCAACCGTCGCCGGTGGCACTAGCCGCTTACTTTACATCCATGATGTAATGAGCCAGACTAGATATCTAGTCGACACACGTGCCGAAGTCAGCGTCCTTCCTGCTACAGCAGCAGATCGACAGAAGGATCCTAACTTCAACCTACAGGCTGCAAATGGAAAACCAATTGCAACCTATGGTCGGAAATACGTCTATCTGAATGTAGGTTTACGCAAACCTATCCGGTGGATTTTTCTGATCGCTGACGTCACAATGCCCATCATTGGCACGGACCTACTTAATCATCATGATTTGCTCGTAGACGTCCGCCGTAAACGATTAATTGACAACACTACTAGTTTGTCTATCAAAGGCATAACTTACGTAGGCCCCAGCTTGTCAATCGTTAAGATGAAAGCAATCCTCGATCCAACTTTTCAACCGATTGTTGACAAATATCCGGAACTCAATTGCCCATCTAACGACCTCCCGTGTATAACCAGCAATGTTATGCACCAAATCATAACCTCAGGACAGCCCGTGACATCTAAAGCACGACGACTGGCCCCTGATAAACTGAGAATTGCCAGAAACGAATTCGATCATGTGCTCACCCTTGGCATCATTCGACCATCGAATAGTCCATGGGCATCCCCGTTGCATATGGTACCGAAAAAGGATAGCAACGATTGGCGACCCACTGGTGATTACCGGCGAGTGAACGCCAAAACAACCCCTGATTGCTACCCTTTGCCTCACATACACGACTTGACGGCAACATTATCTGGAGCATCTATATTCTCCAAAATCGACTTGGTTAAAGCATATAACCAAATCCCGATGGCAACGGAAGATATTCCGAAAACGGCTATCATCACGCCTTTCGGACTTTTCGAATTCCTACGTATGCCATTCGGCCTCCGGAATGCGGCCCAAACATTCCAACGCTTCATCAACGAAGTATTTCGCGGTCTCGACTTTGTATACGCATACTTAGACGACTGCCTCATTGCCAGTCCAGATAAGGAAACTCACCTTAGACACTTGGACTTGACATTTGAGAGGTTACGCCAACATGGTGTTACCATCAATATACAGAAGTGTCAGATAGGCGTTGACTCACTCGATTTTCTGGGTCACACTATTGACTGCCAGGGCATACGCCCACTGGCTACTAAAGTCGAAGCAATACTGAACTTTCCCGAGCCAAAGACAGTAAAATGCCTTCGCACTTTTAACGGCTTGGTAAGTTATTACCGACGTTTTATTCCTAATTGTGCTTCTCTAATTCAGCCATTAACCGATCTCCTTCGGGGGAACAACAAGGCTATCGAACTCGACACGTCTGCTCGACATGCTTTTATTCAGGTAAAGAAAGCTATTGCGGATGCCACCCTTCTAATGTATCAGGATCCAACAGCACCGTTGAGTATCTCGGTTGATGCATCAGACACTGCAATCGGCGCAGTTCTGCAACAACTAGTTAACAACGAGTGGCAACCACTCGCCTTTTTCTCGAGGTGCCTTCAAGTAGCTGAAACGAAGTACAGCACATTCGGAAGAGAACTTCTAGCTATGTACTGTGCTCTACGTCATTTTCGACATTCAGTTGAGGGTCGTGAATTCATCATTTTCACTGACCACAAACCTCTGACGTACTCTCTGAACTCAACTTCAGATAAGTATTCACCCAGGGAATCGCGACAACTAGATTACGTTTCACAGTTTTCATCGGATATTCGCCATGTTTCCGGAGTGAACAACACTGTGGCAGATGCCTTGTCACGTATTTGTTCTTTCACCCAAATCGACGGCATAGACCTTGTAAAACTGGCTCGTCTTCAAAAAGAAGATATTGAGCTTCAACGTGAGTTGTCGAAAACAA